TTATGGGTCCAAGTGTGAATGGAGATGGGCTACCAGGAAGAATTAAAGTGAGAGGAGATCATTCTGCCTGGTCAAGAACCCTAATGAGGGCAAGCAGAGAGGGGATGGAAGTGCTAACATCTATATATGATGCTGGCCTCCAATGGATAGAACATGGATAACCTGTCCCCTGGACTCTTTAGTGTGAATTTTCTATATGCAAAATTTGACCTTCAGCTTTGCAGGTTCTGATGACCTTTATTGCTCAGCATAGACAGAGAGAGTAGAACTCCATCTCTTAAAGGCAGCCTGGCATTCACTGGATTATGAGACTGACTATATGAACAGGACACTAGTAAGTTCATCTATAGTGAAAGTGCTCCTGTTGGAGTCTGAGCTCCTGTTTCCATAACAGAATTGGGGTTCATACATATCCTCCACATCCAACAGATGGGGGAATGTGGGCTAGGAATGAGAAACTCTTTTGTAGAGATTTGTGCCTCTGTCCTTGGCAGAGGACTGCCTTTTAAATCATGAAACACAATATTTAAAATGAGTGCCCGTATCTTACTTGCAAGCAGACAAATCTAAGAGTGGAATTATTTATGTAATAGGAAGATTCCTCTCACTACAAAACAGCAAAGGCCTGCTTATGTAGTGTAAAGGATCAGGCTTTCAGAGTTATGAAAAGCAAAATTAGGCATGACAGCTTAGTACCTTTCTTTATTTCTGTTAACTCATTCCCCATTCCCCTTGATGGCAGATAACAAACTTGTCAATTCTGGATAGTTAGTTGTTTCTGATTTTGAGTTAGCCCCTTCAAGTAAATCCTCAGCTGACCTCAATTTCCTTTCTCCCTGGCATGACTTTCTTCTTTCCCTGCAATAAGGAGACAGCTTCCGGTCAGACCGCTTATCCTGGCCTCCCTGATCTCTGATGCTCCTGCACATCGGCTGAGGAGACAGCAGTTCTTCCTTGGCCTCTGGGCACCTCTGTCCATGCAGGGAGGCTCCTTTTCTTCTTCTTTTGCTCAAGCCTCCTTTTAGGACTGTCCCCTTCTCTGCTCAGTCCTCTGCCGCCTTGGGAGTGTGGAGGCATACTTGGGATGCTCTGAGACCTTCCTGGTTTACCAAGGCAGCTCTTGTGCCTATGATGCTCTCAACACTGTAGCCTCTTTAATATCCCTTTATTCACATCTTGTGGTTTTTTTCCAGGTTTTTATTTTTTCATTTATATCTTTAATCATTCTTAAGCATATTTATTTTAAACATACTGAGTTGATTGTTCTCCTAGCCTCTGGTATTGTTGGTCCTTTTGCATTAAGTCTCTCAACCTAGTTTTTTTTTAAAGATTTTATTTATTTATTTGAGAGAGAGCACACATGTACAAGCCGGGGGGAGGGGCAGAGGCAGAGGGAGAAGCAGGCTCCCCGCTGAGCAGGGAGCCCCACACAGGAACATGGAACTTAGAGCCTTGCAAAGAAAGAGACAGTCTGGAAATCATCATATCAATTATCTATTTTTATAGTCTGAGATAACTTCTGAAGGAAAGAGACACGGATACATTAGGAAATATAAAAAAGGAAGTGACATAAGTTGCATCTAAAGGATAGGTAAAGGAGTGCCTGGGTTAAACATCTGACTCTTGGTTTTGACTCAGGTCATGATCTCAGGGTTGTAGGATGGAGCCCCGTGTCGGGTTCCCGGCTGAGCTCAGAGTCTGCTTGAGATTCTCTCTCTCTCCCTCTGCTCCTCTCTATCCCCCACCCTCGTGTGTATTCTCTCTCTCTCTCAAATAAATAAAAAAATCTTAAAAAAAAATAAAGGATAGGATTAAAGTTAACAGTCCTGAGGGTGGAGAATGTTTTGGGATGGGGGTAGGGGCAGAGATTGTGGCTTCACAGTGCGATTCCTAAACGAGTGGTTTTTCACACTGGCTGCATAATTAAATCCATGGGAAGCTTAACATAAAGGCTCCTGCCCCTGTCCCCAGAGACTCTTATTTAATTGGTCATGGGTAAGCCCAGGCAACTGTATTTTTAAGGGCTCAGCAAATTGTATAGACTCTGTTGTGTACTCAAAATTGTAAATACAGGTTGATCAATGTCAGCCGCGCCAACAACACCTGGAAATTTTTTTTTTTTTTTAAGATTTTATTCATTTATTTGACAGAGAGAGACACAGCGAGAGAGGGAACACAAGCAGGGAGAGTGGGAGAGGGAGAAGCAGGCTTCCCGCTGAGCAGGGAGCCTGATGTGGGGCTCCATCCCAGGACCCTGGCATCATGACCTGAGCCGAAGGCAGATGCTTAATGACTGAGCCACCCAGGCTCCCCCTGGAAAATTGTTAACATGGATTCTCAGGTGCATCCCAGACCTTCTGAATGAGAGACTCTGGGAGTGGGGGCCAGAACAAAATGATGGTGCCCTCCCTGCTGCATGTGTTTAAAAATAAATAGTTAACTAAACCGAAATTTCAAAGAATCTAGGAAGACCAGTAAAATTGTGATCTTTTCCTGTGATAATTATTTTCATGTTTTCTTTTCAATTTCCAAATATGCTCTGAAGGTTTTTTGCTCATTTTTTGGTTGCCTGGGCTTTAGTAGCTTTCAGAACATGCTTAGTCTCTGACTGGGCAATAAGCATTAGGGGAACAGCATGTGCAAAGATCATGGGGCAGGGAAAATAACATGGGACATTCCAAGAACTGAGGAGGGGCAAGCTGGAGAAGCACAGTGTGACTGAGATGGAAGATATACGAAAGGAGACTGAGCCACAGGGAAAGGCTGCATAGTGCAAGGCCCAGGACAGACTCTAAGTGGTATAATTTGGATTTAGATTTTGCAAAGATCAGCTTGGTTGTTCTGTGGAAAATGGTCTAAGTGGGCTGAGAATGGATGCTGGTCTGTAGGTTTGCACTGTCAACCCAAAACAAAAAAATGATGGGAAACTGATGGAGAATGTTCTGGTCCTTGAACACAGAGGAGTAGAGTCTCTTTCAGATAGGATGGTAGATTGAAGCTTTATGGAAGAAAGACAATTGAATAGTGAAGCTGGTAAAATAGCACAAAGGAAACTAGCCAGCAACCGGGGTGGAAAATATATCTGAGAATGAAGAACAAATCATTGTCATTATCCAGGGACATGTCAAATATTCTCAGCCCCACATCCCCAAAATTCAACTCAGTGTGTCTGAAGGCTAAGAGCTGTACTAGTCACATGCTCTCATGTGACTTTGCCTCTCATCAGCCTTCAACTCTCATCAGCCAGGTTTGGGGACCACTGAGGTACATGGACCTCAGTGTGTACAAGAATGAAGCTGGAAAGGTGACTGGTGACCAAACTGGGCAGGTGTGTGTGGTCCTCCTGGCAGTGAGTGAGGAGGACACCACCAACTTGGGCTGGGGCTTCTAAGGGAAGGATTTTGGCAGTAGGAAATGAGGGCAGATGTTGTTTTCATGCTATGGCTCAGAGTAGAATGGAAGTCTACAAAATTTTGTAAACCAAAGCCCTTAAGTTTGTCCTCTGGGATGACTGCGTTATTCAAACATCTTGGAAATAGCTTGTGAAAAGGTTTAAACAATAGAAACAAAGTGGGGAGTTGCTGTCTTTAGATATTCTTCCACACTGGCTACAGTATGAGAGGTTATTCTGCAGTGTTGTCCAGCTAACCACCAGCAAGCTAGAAAAGCAACCTCCATTGCTGAGAGATGCAGAAAGTATCTCCTGTCCCAGAGTCACCAAACACTGGTATTCTTGCTTTTACATGTACTTCTTCAGAGGTCTGGGACACTCACTAATGATGTGATTGTATGGTTAATGTATATAGTCTTGTATTTATTCAGGTAATTTCTTGTCATACAGTAAACTGTGAACGGTCTTTTAGTCCTGACCAAGAGCATGAGTTGGCACGGGTGAATACTGACAGGGGTAGAACCAGAGAAGAGGGAAGGCTGGGTCCACGCAACAGGGCTGGTTTCTGGGCCTTATTGGAATGACACCGGAGTTGAGGAGGGCTGATCTGTAGGCAGGAAACGGAAACCAGGACTAGAGAGCAGGGCAGGAAGGATGAGGTGTCCACAGGTTAAGTGGTACAGCCCAGCTGCCTTCAGTCCCAGGAGCGTGCAGTCTGTTCCTTGGCCGCACAGGTAAATCCATATTTGCTGGGGCCTGCAGCTTGTATAATTTGAGGGGTCCTCTTTGAGAAAAATCATAAAAATTATGAAAAGATTGAATATGGAAGTGAATATTATTTTATAATGAGATGGGCGATCAGAGCAAATTACAACATTTGAAAACACCATAATTACCACGTGACAAACTCCAAATTTTTCATGTATTTTAATTAATTGATTTCATAACACACCTCTAAAATACTTTTCTCCCTACATTTTTGTCTGCATACTCTTTGTTCACCTCTTCCTGCGACGGTGCTTTTGTGATATTTTTTTTATTGGGAGAAATGAAAAATAATATTTCCTTCAGCATATTTCCTTTGTTTGAGCATGGATGCTCAAAATTTGTTGTTTTATCATTGTTGAATAACATTCTTTCAGCTTCACAACTTGTTAGTGACATTGTTATATAAATATTGAGGATTCTTGTCAGATTTGGAAAAAACTCTATCAAGTCTCTTCTACGTAAGAACCGTAGGTTTCAGATTCTTTCAAGCTTTATTGCACAAGAGCTGACCTTAAATTCTTTTTGAACCACTGTCCTTCAAAAACCGGTTTGTTACTGTAGCCATATTTTATTCTTTCAAATATTACAAGTATATAGACATCTTGCTACACTGCTGGGGCCCGTTTTAGGTGAAAGAAGGTGCAGGTAAGGGACCGGGAAACTTAACCTTCTGTAGCCTCCCAGTAAAACCATCTCTGATGGGCTTATATACTTGATCCTTACTGCAGGGGTGAGGGGAGAAGATAATCACTACTAACATTTGCTGAGCTGTTGAGCTAAATTGCCAGATTAAATGGAACCATTTTGTGAGATACCTATTAATTAGTGTTCCCATTTACAGATGGGGAAGCTGACATCCAGGGAGGTTGACTTTGTCCGAGCAGGAACGTGGAATTGACTCAGATTTTCTAGCAGTCAGCCCCTCCGCCTCCCGAGATCTGTCTTCCTCGATTTTCACTTCATCGTTCTGCATGAACTTTCTACCATTCTCACAGACCAAACCAAAATCTCCACAGAAATCCCTGTAAGTCTGCTAAGATTAAGAATAACCACAGACATTTAATGGATTTGGCCACAGAAAGTACCTACTTCTTCCTAAGAGACTTTCCACATCTTGACTATGAGTCTCTGTTTTATCCTGAAGTGATGGGGAAGCGTCCCAGATTCAGACTCCAAGAAGGAACACAGACGTTTTAGCAGGGTCTCAGCCATTTTCAAGCCCAGAGCGTGAGGCCAAGAGGCGAGGGGGTGTTCGGCAAATGTGAGCCACGAACGGGCCAGAGCTGTTTGGTGGGATTTGTAACTAAAAAGAGACTTCAGACCATCTGACTAAATGCTAATGGATTGGTCTGAGACAGGTTTTAAAAAGACACGATTTTATCTACTCCTTACAGAGTTTACAGGTTCTGATGACTGGCCCTTTCTTTTTGCTGGGCCTGTGTTACCAGGCCAAATAACCTCGCTGCGTTGGTTACTGGTTTCAAGTTACTTGCAGATGGCTGGAGGCAGATGAAAGCCGCCCAGAGGTGCTCCTCCTTCTCTCCTCTAGTCCCCAGACCGTGGTGCCATGTGCTGACGCTCGGATACTTGTTTTACAGTATCATTTGACAAGTGGGATTTATGTGTCAAAATTTCCGCGAAAGCCAAGAAAGTGTCAGAGAAAGCAAAGAGAGGCAGCATGAGAAAACGGGGAGTAGGCGGGTTATAGGGTGTCAAATCCTAACCGTACCAAGCACACAGGGGGATTAACCTGGCTGCCCAAAGCCACAGATTTCTTGGGTGTGTTTTTGTTCACTGCGGTTCCTGTCTTTATCATCAAGGAAACAACATCGTAAAATTGAGACCTTTTCCCTGAATGCATTAATAAAGATAACTTCTTGGTCCAGCTCCAAAACCACTGGAGCCACATTTAATTGACTGCGTTTATTGTTTGGGGATCTCGTATACTGAGGTGCTCAGGGCCACAGTAACAACTGTGGAAGCCATGACAGTAGGTGCAAGAGGAGACGTTCCTGGTCTTTCTTGGAATCTTCCAAATGCCCCAGGTACAAAATCTTCCCAAGTTCTTACATTCCATTGAGCTTTCCCCAGGTTTTCACCTTGTGGCTATTTTAAAGGAGGAAACACATATAAACGCACAAATAATTCCTTAAACCTTACCCCAGACTCTTAGAGCTTCCTGTCAAGTCCGACGCAAGATAACTTACCCTGTTCTTAACCCTTCTTTTGAGAAAACGCGAGGGAGAAAAGGCAAGAGATTTTGAATGTCTCAGTTCCCCACAAGCCCCGTGTGTTGCTCGCCATATTAAGAGCATGTGTGCATTACTTCATAAACTATCAGATGACATGCATCTTTATTTAGACTCAATAAAGAAAAATAATGAGTTATGCAAAGTTATTTCAGACACAGGGCAAAATAGCTTTGCAAAAAGGCACTATTCACGGGGGCCAGCCCAGCCTGGCTCAGGGACCATCATCTATTAGCTCCAAATAAATTCAGGAAAGAGGTACAGCTGTGGACACCTTGTCATGTGCCAAGTGTAATAAGTAGGTTATGAACAAGTCACGATAAAACATAATAACAATTGCCTTTATTCTCTCCATTCCATCCCTCTCTGTGGATTAAAAGCCTCCAAGGTCAGAATCAACTACCTAGGGGCATGTTAGGAAGTCTGAATGTACGTCTTCCCTAAATTTATGAACGACAGAACATCGCAGTGGCCGTCAGCCTGGGGTTTGAAAACATCTAAACTGAAAATACTGAAATTTAGCCAAAGAATATAGACTCTCCTTCCCCTCAAATATGGGGATTTTGTTCAATGGCAGTGTAGATGGAGCCTAGATCCAAGTCAAGACAGGCTCAGATGAACACTTAGTTTTATTTAAGAAGAAGGGACAAATATTTTGATTTTAGGGGATGTCATCCCTCTGTGTTTTCTCTCAACCTTCCTATGTGAAATGCAGAGTGTGTTTTCTGCCAGGATCCGGGGGCCTCACAGTGCCTATTTTTCTGATGTGCGGAGAGCTACGTAATTTCCCGCAGTGGAAATGGTGTTTGGGGAGGAATTTCATGTGTGCAGTTGCTACTTAGTTAAAAAAGAATTCAGGGAGGGGCGCCTGGGTGGCTCAGTCGTTATGCATCTACCTTCAGCTTGGGTTGTGGTCCCAGGGTCCTGGGATCGAACCCCACATCGGGCTCCCTGCTCAGCGGGAAGCCTGCTTCTCCCTCTCCCACTCCCCCTGCTTGTGATCCTTCTCTCGCTTTGTCTCTCTCTGTCAAATAAATAAATAAAATCTTAAAAAAAAAAAAAAAGAATTCAGGGAAACATACCTGGAGCTCCTGGGTATCAGAAGTGCCTTATAAAGTGACCCCCAAGCTGGCCTGTTGATTTAGAAGTTTTGGAAATAACAAGATTGGGATTTTGGAAAACTCCCCTTCAGATGATGTCAGTAGGTTAACTATGTGCTGTAAACTGCTGAGAATCAGTATTTTATTACTAGGGGAACAAGTAGGAGTAGCCCACTAAGAGACTGTGTAGAAACCCAATGCATAAACTAACATGCACCAACATTTACTTTTCCCTGAGTTCTATAACAGTGATCCATAATAAGGACATTAGTTTTATTGGCTTATACAGACTTCTTAAATTCACGTGTGTGTATGTGTGTTTCTGTGTGTGTCTGAGTGTGTGTGTGTGTGTGTGTAAAACTTAAAGGACAATAGGCCGAGACATTCAATTAACAAGTAAAAAGTGAGAAAGAGGAAGGTTTAGTGAAACGGTTATTTTTAATATCTCCATGCAGTAAGTTGGAAAGAGGATGTGGACGGCAGGGAGAAAGCACCAGCCTTTGTCTCCAACTAGCTCCGTATATTTTGAGAGAAGGTTAAGGAAGGTAAGAGTAAGTGAGATACATGTATTTGGGGATGGGAACGTGGAAGTTGAAGGAGTTTACATCAGTGGGTCCTTTTTTGGTGTTGTAGAAGATGAGGTCCCCTCTGGGAGTCATGCAAGTCAAGCGAAAGTGCTGGCTTAAGAATTCTGGTATCACTGCTGTGTGTGAAATAAGAAAGGCTGAGAATAAAAAGATTGATGGTCTGTAATGAGGGCTCAAGTAAGGGTGACAATGATAAATACACACCGGTGGCTACTTCTTACAACTGTGTTGTCTTCGTCCACTGAACTCAGCGGGTCAGGAACAAAGGAGGTGGATGTGATGGGGTTGAGGGAGGGTAATGAATTATTGGACCCAACGCTCGGAGATCATGGGAGTAAGGGACTCAGAGGTGTGGACGAGGTTGTGGTTGGAATTACTGACTATGGGGTCCAGGCTGGGTGAGAAATGGAAGCCAAGAGACGTTGGGAAGGGGAGGGAGGCATGGTTGGACTGGAAATTTCACAGAACAGACATAACTAGAGTGAGAAATGGAAGAACTGGAGACAGAAATTAGAGAGTGGAATTCTCCTGAGACCACAGGTCCTGGTAGTGGCAATATCTGGACTGTGGGCCTTGGAGTGGACTGATGTAGAGGAACAGAGGATGAAGTCAAGGAACCACAGGGTGGGAAGATGGCTGAGTCAACACATCTACCATCTCATCCAGGATGATGTTAAGGCTCTCACTGAAGAAAAAAAATGTACATACAACGTGGGCAACTTAGCTCTTGAAAAGTTGTTGTCCTCTTGGACTTTCTGGGAAAGTGTTGCTAAATTGTTGTTTCATCATGCTTTTAAAGAATCCTAGGAGTCACAAAGTCCAAATGGAGAAGCCCATCATATTAACACTGAGCAGAGTGTGTTCTGGAAGCATCTGAGGCGGTGTGGGCTTGGAAATGGAACCAGGGAGTCCTGGTGTGGTTCGGCCGTGGACTTCCTCGTGTAACTGCATCACGACCTCTCCAGGCCGCTTATCTGTGAAATGACAGGTTTGGCTTATGTGGTTTGCCAGGAATTCTCTGGCTCTCAGTCACATTTAGTTTCAGCAGAATATTTGTTTCTAACCTTTCCCATGCTGCTGCTGAGTTATCCTAATTGCTACCTCTTCTCCACTGATTTCACTCTGCCCCACCTCACCCTCAGATGACTCCTTCTTTCCACTCAGAGATAACAGTCCCGACGAGCTCAGGATAATTTCCCCAACTGCCAAAACTATTTCCAAAATGCAAACTTGTGGCTGCTGATTCACACACTGCCTGAGAAGCACGGTTTCTTTCTGACTGGTTTCACATGGATTGCCATCATATCTGGAGACCGACTCGTTGGTGAAAAGCTGGGATAGTCAGGGGAAAGATGGCCACTTGAGATCTTATTGTGAGACTCAAAGTGGTAAGAAAGGTGAAGCTTTCAAATCACCAACCTCAGCAGCATCAGAAAGAAGGGAGTTAGTTGAATACGCACGGCCTCTGCCCTTGGGTACCTTCAAATTGCAAAGAATTCCAGCTTCATTCCAAACCCATACATGCATACATACCATGCAGGGGCGCCTGGGTGGCTCAGTTGGTTAAGCGATTGTCTTCGGCTCGGGTCGTGATCCCAGGGTCCTGGGATCGAACCCCGTGTCGGGCTCCCTACTCCTCGGGGAGGCTGCTTCTCCATCTCCCACTCCCTGCTGCTCCCCCTGCTTGTGCTCTCTCTCTCTGTGTCAAACAAATAAATAAAATCTTAAAAAAAATCTTTAAAACATCACGCAAACATTATCCTGTGGAAGGACTAAATAACCAAATAAATGTCTTAGGGGTCAACGGATACTACCCCAGGGCCCTCACTGGGCCTCAGGTCTCCCTATTTGTGGTCCGCATTGGGGAGGCCAACACCGCGCAGGAAGGAATGAGGAGACAGGCAGCAACAGTGTGGGGTGCACTGAAAGGCATTCTCAACACAGTTCCCCTCTTAAAGGGCTAGATGACAAGAGGGAGCAAAGGAGACTAAGGAGTTGAGAAAGGGGCTAGGTCAGTCAAGTTCCCTGGTTTCAAAGGAAAGGTAGTCCTGAGGAGGAGAGGCTTCTTTGGAGAAAGGCAAATTCTTGATCTCGTTAGGCCTATGGGACTGCTGAAAATGCCACTCTGCTTTTCTGGAGCTTTTTGCTTAGTGACATAGCATTTTGCCCTGAGCAGATGTATAGGGGACAATGCTGAGTGTTGGGCTTTTCTTTCTTTGCATTTCTTTCTTTAAGTTCTTGGCCCCCAAGTCCTAGATGCCTTGGTATCCCAAACGATAAGTTTTGTCTTTCAAGTCTGTAGGATTGCCTAAAGCTCTGCAGGCTTTGCTGCCTCTTTGCCTTGATGCTCTACTTGAGTTTCGGCCTCTTGTCCAGAGCTAGACTCAGCAAATGCCTCAGTTTGAAATTTGTTTCAAAGAATGTCAGCTCACCTTTCTTTGTAATGTAATTACAGTTCTTTCCTATGTAATACACAAGATCCCTATATAATATAATTTTAGATCTAAATGTCTATCCATCATCGTATAATATTCTTCTTAAACAAAACGGGCACATAAATTTTTAAAAACTTCATTTCTTATGACTGATGGTTTCTAGTTCTGTAAGTCTATAGTTGAATGGTTCTCACATTTGTCTGCATTTTTAATTACCTAGGGTGCTTTAAAAATTGCTCGCTCGTAGGTCCTACCCCTAGGGATTCTTATTTAATTTGCCTTTGGTGCAGCTTAGGCATTACCGTGTCTTCAGTCTCTCCAAGTAGGTGTAATGTACAGCCACTGTTGACAATTACTGCTCTCAATGTTAAAAAGATTTTTCTTCTAGCTTGAATAACCATTGCAAATTTACTGGCATACAATTGATTACAATAAATTAAATACATTATACATTTTTATAAAAGAGAGTTGATAGATACCGATGTTTCAAATTGTACCTTTGTTTCAGCTCAAAAGTTTTTCATATTTCATATTTCATTTGATACATCAAAATGGATAAGAGGTATGTTTTTCTTTCTAGGTGGGTAAGATCTGCCTTTTTGTTAAAGATTAATAAGGGCATCTGTAAAAGGGAGGTGGGAAAGAAGTAGTTTCAACCAAAGACACATTCGCAGGCAGATCAATGAAAGAATACAAATGCGACTCAAGCATCTAGAACTTGCTTGTCTTAAAGCTCTCCTTTCTCCTTGTCACAGACCCCTCAGAACATCTTCATGATCTCTCAAATTAGATGAGGGTATACCCCTCTGAAAACCACTGTTCTATAGTACAATAGATAATGTTCTTTTTTCCCTCCAAATTAATTCCCTACTCTTCTCCACTTTGTTCTCTGCTTCTGGAGGCTGATCTAAATAGAGAATTGGATCAGCCTTTCTTGCCTCATGGCTTCTGGTTAACTTTATTCAATAAGTTAGGGAAGAGAGTGAGGCCAAGGTGTTTATTTTCAGCAGGGTTTTCTAGGGAAGGCTGACTCCCTTGAATCACCCTTCCCTTGAATCAAGGTCACGGTTTTTCCTAGGTGGCCACTTCCCTATGACTTTCTCCTTCAGTTTTAGGTACTCTTTCCTCTTGTCCCCTTGGGCTAGAACAGGTAACGGCCCCAGGCGACTTCACTGTCCCCTGTGACTTCCCTACACAATTTGAAAATAGTTCCTCTATTAAATCCTTCTTAAATGATCTTAACTTGCATGTGCTTTGCTGATGCATAGAGGGACAGAGGAGCCATCTGCATGACTCAGGAACTTCAACAGAGGTCGACTGGGATGAGGGATGTCACTGAACAGTGCTTCTTGTTCCTTGTCTTCTCTAATTAGAGGGCACAGTAGCTATTTCTGAACCAAACCCAGCAGACAAACCTGGTATTATGGCTCTGTCGATATACAGATCCCGGAGAATGACTGCTTCAGCTGACATCATTCAGAACTAATACAATGAGAACATGGATATTCTGTTCTGGATTGTTTCCTGCCCACATCTTTATGCTTGGCAAATGAGGGATAATTTGACAGACAAACACCAAAAGCAGAATGTCAAACATACATAACACGTACGTTCTTCCATCACTTTTCCCCATTTACCCCTTATTTATATACAATTATGTCTTATTGTTTGCAAATATTTCTTGGATGTCAGTCTCCAGTCTCCATTTCTTGACTAGATTGTAAGTTTCAC